TTATCTTTCACATTAAATAGTCCCGTATCTAGCACTCATGAATATGAAGAAATCCTAATTACTGTAGCTTAGTAACAAATCTCAATATCTGGCAGGGCAGGTCTCCACCTGGATCATTTTCATCAAGAATATTCTGACAGTTCTTGGTTCTTACTATTTCATATAAATTTTAATCATCAGTTTGTAGAAGAAAAAAATCTGTTGGGATTTTAATTATATTTGTAGTGACTATAGATCAATTTGAGTAGAATTGATGATATTGAGTATTCTTGTCCAAGAACATATTATCTCTTTACTTATTTACATCCTTTTTATGTCTTTCAGTGAAATTTTGTAATCATTATCTTTAAAATTTTACATATTTTTGTTCAAATATATTCCTCAGTATTTTGTTTTTTAGTTCCTAGTATAAATGATATTTTAAAATCGTATTTTCTGTAGAAAAGGAATTGATTTTGTACATTGATTTTGTATCTAGCCATCCTGCTAAATTAATTTAATAATTTTGACAATTCATCTGTACATTCTTTGGTGTTTGCTATGTACATAGTCATCATCTACAAATTTATGATACTTGTATTTCTTCTTCCTTCTCGGTCTTTATGCTTTATATCTCTATCTCTTATCTTACCACTCTGGCTAGGACTTCCAGTAGAATGTTGAATGAAAGTGGGGATAACACACATCTTAGTGTTGTCTCCGATCTTAAAAGGAGTGCTTTTAACATTTCGCTGCTGAGTATAATATTTGCTCTGAGCTTTCGGTGGATTTGCTTTATCTGATTTTAGAACTTCCTTTCTATTTCTAATTTGTTAGGAGTATTTAGCATAAATGGATGTAAAATTGTATCAAGTGTTTTATCTATGTCCATTAAGATAATTCCGATTTTTCCCTCAAGCTGCTAAGTGGTGAACATATTATTTGGCTTCTAATGTTAAAACAACCTAGCATCTGAGATATACCCAACATAAAGTATTATCTTTTTCAATATACTCTCTGGCTTATTGTGTTTGCAAATCTTTTGTTTAGCTTTACCGCACCTGTTTGTGATTGAATTTGGCCTTCAATTTTCTCTTTTTTTTTTTCCTGTCTGTATCTGATTTTTGGTTTTGTAATTTTGCTAGCTTCATAAAACAAGAAGTAATCCTTCTTACTTATTCTCCAGAATAGTTGGTGTAATCTTGAAATTTTTTGATCTGTGAGAGTTTGATTTAAATTTCTTATTGAGTTTGATTTAAATTTCTTATTGGGATTGGGATTTTCTTTGTAAGAAGATTTTAGCCTATAATTTCTTTAATGATTATGAAGATATTAAAGTTTTCTATTCCTTAGTAAGTCACTTTTAGTAAGTCATATTTTCTAGGAATGTATCCATCTCATGTAAATCTTCAAATTATTGTTATAAAATGGATAAGATCTTCTCAACTGTTTAGTCTCTGCAAAGCCTATGGTGTCTCCCTCTTTTCATTTCTATTCTTTTTTTTTTTTTTTTTTTTTTTTTTTTTTTTTTTTTTTGAGATGGAGTTTCACTCTTGTTGCCCAGGCTGGAGTGCAATGGCGCGATCTCGGCTCACCGCAACCTCCACCTCCCGGGTTCAAGTGATTGATTCTCCTGCCTTAGCCTCCCAAGTAGCTGGGATTACAGGCATGCACCACCAAGCCTGGCTAATTTTGTATTTTTTAGTAGAGACAGGGTTTCTCCATGTTGGTCAGGCTAGTCCGAACTCCCGACCTCAGGTGATTCACCCACCTTGGCCTCCCAAAGTGCTGGGATTACAGGCGTGAGCCACCATGCCAGGCCTTCTATTCACTTTTATTTGTGCTGTCTGGTTTCCTTTCTTAGTTTTGCCAGACCCAAAAAAAACTATCTAATAAACTCATTGATCTTATTTATTGTAGTTTTATTTTTATTTCAATAATTTGTTCTTTTATTTCAATAATTTGTTCTTTTATTTTATTATTTCCTTTACTACTTTGGATTTATTTTCTGTTCTTTGGCTAACATTTGCTTGTTAATTTTGAGTTGTTTGTCTGTTTGAATGCTAACATTGAAAGTTATAAATTCTCTTCTAAATACAGTTTTACCTCCATCTTGCATTTTAGTATGTAATCTCATTACAATTTAGTTCTAAATACTTTTAATATTCATTATAATGGGTTTAGATTTTTTAATTTTTCAAATGTGGGACTTTTCTAGTTATAGTTCTTTCTTCATTTCCAACATAATTGTGCTGTGGTTTAAAAATGATATCTCTAATAACAGGCTTCTGAAATTTGTTGATGTTGGCCTTATTATAGCATATTCTGTTCTTATAAATTTCTGGGCATATTTGAAAATAATATATATTCTATAAGTACTGAGTGGAATGTTCTATGTATGCCTATTGGTTCAAGTTTGTTAATTATTCTGTTCAAATCTACTGTATCCTCACTGCCTTTTTCTAATCTACTTAATCTATCATTACTTACTAAGATAATTGTATTAAAAATCTTCCATTTCCATTTTGGTGGTATATTGTCAATTTCTCCTTGTAATTCTGTAAATTTTTGCTTCATATATTTTAAGGTTATGTTATAGGCATACAGATTTTGACTTTTTATATCTTCTTGGAACATTGAGCCTTTTAACCAAACATTAAACATCTTCTTTATCACTAGCAATATTTCTTGTACTAAAGTATGTTTTGTCTTCTATTAATGTAGCTAAAATAATTTTTCTTTGGTGATATTTGCTTGGTGCATCTCTTTTTATCCTTTGGCTTTCAACTTTGCTGTGCCCTTACATTAGAAGACATTTTTATAATCAGCATAGAACTGATTTTTTAAATCCACTTTAGCAATATTTATTTTTTAACTGGAGGGTTTTGTTCATTAACATTAATTGTGGTACATTTTAATTTAAATCTGCCATTTTATTATGTTCTTTTAGTTTGCTATTTTTTTTCTTTTCAATTGACTTCCTTTTTTGTCTGCTTTGGGGTATAATTTACATGTTTTCTTTTATTTTCCTTATTCCATTTTTTCCTTTGCTACTTTGAATTTCATGCCATGTAGTTCTACTGTTCTAATGGTTATCACTGCTATTCTAATAAGCATCCTTAAATAAATAAATTTATTACTATTTTTAGTCTCTTCACAATGATTAAAAGACTTTAGGATAGTTTGACGTCTCCTGTCCATCCATCAAATCATATTCTATCGTTCTTAGTAATTTAGATTGTTCTCTATTATTTATTTAAGCCCCAGGAACTATACCTATATACCGAATGTTTATTTATTTGTTTATTATTATTATTATTATTATTTTTCGAGACTGAGTCTCGCTCTGTCACCCAGACTAGAGTGCGGTGGCATGATCTCCGCTCACTGCAACCTCTGCCTCCTGGATTCAAGCGATTCTCCTGCCTCAGCATCCCAAGTAACTGGAACTACAGGCATACGCCACCATGCCTGGCTAGTTTTTGTATTTTTAGTAGAGACAGGGTTTCATCATGTTGACCAGGCTGGTCTCAAACTCCTGACCTTGTGATCTCCCTGCCTCGGCCTCCTATTTAGATTAACCAACATACTTACCATTATTGCTCTATAGTCCAGACATCCGACTGAGGTATATTCCATTAGGAATTGCTTTAGTAAAGGTCTATTGATGAAGTGCTCTCATTCTTTCTTTGTCTGAAATGTATTTATTTTGCCTTTGTTCTTTAAAAATAGTTTTGTGGAGGAGAGAATTCAAGAATAACATAAATTCTCTTTGATTATTGAAATTATTATTCTATTGTGTCCTGGCTTCCATTTTTGTTGCCAAGTAGTCAGTTATCAATCTAATTTTGTTTTTTTTTGTGTGTGCTGTCGTTGTTTTAAGAAACTTGTCGTTGCTCTGAAGCTAATTTTAAGATTATTTTTTTCTTTTGGTAATCTGTAGTTTCATAGTGAAGTATTTATATGAGGGTTCCTTCATATTTATTCTGCTTGGGATTTGTTGGGCTTTCTTGGTCTTACATTGAGTGTCTTTCAGCAATTCTAGAAACTATTTAGCCGGACTCTTCTCAAATGTTGCTTCTTGCTTGTTCTATTTTGTTTTTCTGGCACTTTTGTTATACTTATGTGTGATGCTTTCATTATCTCCTGTCTTTTAATAACTTGCATATTTTTCCTTTTTTCTCTTTCTACCCTGCAGTTTAGAAACTTCTCCATGTATATCATATAGCAGTCGAATCCCCTTTCAGCTTTGTTGATATTTAAATTATAATTGTATTTTCCATTTTTAGATCTTCTACTCAGTTATTTTATAATTTTGCTTGCTTGCTTTATTCTTTGTTATTTTTCACATTTTAAGCCTTCTCTTTTATTTATTATTTAAGTTTTAGAATATGTTTATTAGAGTATAATCTTAAGACAGTTTTTGATTTGTCAACTTACAAATATTTGTTTCTTCCTGCCATATAGTAAAGTGATACAAAGGCCTACTGAAAATTATTAGCTTCTTTCTCCTGGAATTCTCCATCAACATGTGATCATTTTTGCATTGCCAGCAAACACCTCTTAGAAGCTTTTTCTATGCTTCTTTTGACAAAGCAATGCTATCGCAAGCCATAATTTTCATGTTAGCCACTTCATAAATTTTGCCACTTCTCTGAATCCAGCATTCAATACCAAGGTCTACACACTATCACAGATTTTGAGTGTGCTCAGAGAACCTCTGAAATAGACTCCATTCTTGATTCTATCCAAATCACACATTACATTTAGATGTCATGTCTCCTCCTGAGTCTCCTCCATTGCAGGACAGGCCTCAGTCTTTGCCATTCATAACCTTGACACCTTGTGCAAGGGGCCATATTCTTAACATCAGAGCATAGTCTATGCAGAGTGCTTAGCAAAGTATTGGGCATGTGGTAGGATTTTTATAATGATAGATATTTTTGTTGGGGAAATCAATACATCTTCCTTTCGAGGAGTAGAACGAGAATGGCTCCTCATGTTCTCTTTGTGGTGATTAGCTTGGCCAACCTTGAAGCGTTTATAAAGAATAGTGAGAGCGGCTTACTCAAGAAAGTTGAAAAAGGAGATTTCGAAGGCTTGGTTGAGATCATGGGACACCTTATGGCTGTGAAAGAACGGCAGAGTAACACTGATGAGATGTTTGAGCCCTTAAAGCAGACTGTTGAATTGCTGAAGACCTATGAACAAGAATTGCCAGAAACAGTGTTTAAGCAGCTGGAGGTCAGTGCATTTATGTCTTCCTTATAAAAGAAATAGACGGAACATTTTAGGATTTCAGAATGGGGTAAAGTGGGGTACAGCAAATGAAAAACAGGGCTTGGAGCTGACTCAAGATCTATGTTTTGGAACTATAATGTGTAGCATGTTTGTAATGTCTAGAAAATTCTGAAAACTCAATACCTATGGGAGAAGGTAATGCTGGAGATATATGGGAGAATTAAGATGGATAATTTTTTTCTGTAGAAATGAACCAGTGTTTTGGTTGAGAAGAAAAAGCAGATCTGAAATTTGTTAAGATGGTCCAAGAGGAAATGTGGGACATAAAGGAAAATAACCAAGCAATCCTGAAGAATATAGAAAAGGGAAGGGGTTAATGTAGTTTCAGTAGAAATACAGTAGAAGCAATAGAAACCCAAGATTGTAGAAACTTCTTCCTTTAAGAAAAATCTAAAAGTCTCTTGAGCATTGCAAGTTTTCACAAATGTAGAGGGCTTAGAGGGCCAGAGGTTGAGAGCAAGAAGGTTAGTGTTGAGTGAACAGTAGGTAATAGTTGAGAGCAGCTGCAGAAGGAAGGCGAGGAAGAGTGGGTGGAGGGCAGATTGTAGGGAATGGGAAGATGACACCACCACATCATCGTACCATCTTGTAACACAGATGGAAGCATCTGGGCTCTGTCCAGCTCAGGACTATGGGAAAGGCAAGAGTGCCTTGGGAATCTGACCACACTGAGGTTTCCTTTGCAGGAGCTGCCTGAGAAATGGAACAACATAAAAAAGGTGGCCATTACTGTGAAGCAGCAGGTGGCCCCACTGCAGGCAAATGAAGTGACACTTCTCCGCCAGAGGTGCACAGCCTTCGATGCAGAACAGCAGCAATTCTGGGAGCGGTTCCACAAAGAAGCCCCGTTCAGGTATGGGCCAAACACTGCTGCCTCTCTTTCTCTGAACACTGCAGTCTTTGAGTCATGGATAATCTTTTTGTTGAACGTGTGTATTCTTCTAGCAGCTGCAGACCAGTTAGTAATCTTCCTTCCCATTTAGGACCTTTGGTTGAAACGTGGTGCTAATGTGGACCGAATCCTATCATGACCTGTACGGACCAAGGATTGTAGAAATATCTTGCCTTAAAAAGATGCATATATATCTAGAAGCATCTTTGTGCCTCCAAGTTTATAAAGGGATGATAGGTGGTATAATTACGAGGATTTTACTAAACCTTTAGCATTCTAAGTTCTCACAGACTGTTCTTTTGGTTTTAAAAAGTGGCTGATGGAATTTTTAAAATTTTACAGCACATTTCATTTTGGCAGCATAAAGGAAGGATTTAGGTGAAGGTTTTCTTCAGGGGGTTTCTCTCCGCTTGGTTCAGACACCTCCCTGCTTGTTATGACAGGTCTTTACATAAACAAAGCAACCCTAGGATGGGTAACACCATTCACCCGTGCCCACACTGCACACACTTGGGCTCCTTTCTCAGGGGTTTCCTCCCGTGGTGAAGTGGTCTGCTTCTGGTCCACTTCTCAGCATCAAGGGCTCCAACCAGGAGGCCAAGCTGGCGCGGAATGGTCCTACATCTGCTGATGCACCAGCTAGATTGGGTACCTTTTGCCCCAACGCTTCAGCTCTGTGATTTGTTTCCTGCTTCCTTGAGCTTCATTTCTTGCTGGATCTCCTCTATAGTGTTGGGTAGACAGACTTCGACATCTCCAAACTGGAAAATTCTCGATGCTCACAGTGAGGAATGTTTTCATTTTCAAAGGTTACTTGCCCACAGAAATATTAAAGCAACAAACCAAACAAATAAAAAAAAATACAACTTCATTGGAACAAAGTCCAATAAAAATTAAGTGCACAGATGCTAGATTCAGGTGGCCTGGGGTCTAATTTCAGGTCTTCTACTTACTTCTTATGTTATGATAAAGTTACTTAATACCTTTGTGCTCCAGATTCCTCATCTGTAAAATGTAGATAATAATAATGTCCACCGCATATAGTTGTGGCTTGAATTAAAGAGATCGTTCTTGAAAGTGTCTAGCATTGTGCCTGGTACTATGGTGAAAAACCATACTGATTTGCCCAGGACTGTTCTGGTTGTTGTTTGGGAGTTTTAAAATCTCTGCAGGTGATTCTAAATGTGCAGCCCAAATGGCAGCACATTGCTTTAGAGTTGTATGTTTTATATATTTATATCTTATGTCTGTTTTACACACATGTCCTTCCCTGCCTCTTAACATACTCATCTTATTCTCTGTAACTCCAAGCATAACGCTTGGGAGATAGCAGCATTTTCGAGATAGCGTCTTGCTCTGTCACCCAGGCTGGAGTGCAGCATCATGATCATAGCCTACTGCCATGAACTCCTTGGGTTCAAGCAATCCTCTCACCTCAGCCTCCTGAGTAGCTGAAAGTACAAGCGTGCTCATGTCTTAGGAAGCACCTCTGTTCTGGGCAAACCGGATGGTTGCTCACCCAACCTGTCAATCCTATTTTTATCATTCATTCTTCAAACATTTATTAAGCAGTTGCTATCTCTCAAGCATTATACCCGGGGTAACAGAGAATAAGATGAGTAGGTTAAGAGGCAGGGAAGGACAAGTGTGTAAAACAGACATAAGATATAAATATACAAAACATATGACTCTAAAGCAATGTGCTGCCTTTTGGGCTGCACATTAGAATCACCTGGAGAGATTTTAAAATGCCCCATGCCCAGTCTGCCCTGTATACCAATGAAGTTAGACTTTCTGGAGGTGAGACCTGTGAATCAGTATTTTGGAAGCTCCAGGAATTCCAATGTGCACCCAAGTTTGGAAACCACCACCCTAAAGGGAAGTAATTGGTTTCCTTTCAAGCAATCATGTGGAGGAATATAACTCCTAATATAACTCCTAAGTCTGTATCCCTTTAGAATAGTTGCCTTAGGAGCCACACCCTTGTTCCAAAGAATCATCTGTTGCTCAAAACCCTTGTAGACTCCTTTGGGGACTGTCTTTCGGAGTCTGAGGCTTATTCCTTTGACTCTTTTTTGGGCATGCAATTGAGTTTTTGAAATTGAGCACCATTTCAGAGCCAAAACTGCTGAGGGAGGTAAGTTCTCCAGCTAGGTAATACTACTTAGTGTTAACAACAACCATACCAAAGACAACAGCCATAAAAATAAAGACACTAATATTTTTGCACCAACAGTCTCTTTTTTTTTTTTTTTTTTTTTGAGACAGAGTCTCACTCTGTCTCCCAGGCTGGAGTGCAACGGCACGATCTCAGCTCACTGCAGCCTCTGCCTCCTGGGTTCAAGCGATTCTCCTGCCTCAGCCTCCTGAGTATCTGGGATTACAGGCGCCCACGACCACACCCAGCTATTTTTTGTATTTTCAGTAGAGGCGGAGTTTCACCATGTTGGTCAGGCTGGTCCCGAACTCCTGACCTCGTGAACTGCCCACCTTGGCCTCCCAAAGTGCTGGGGCCCAGCCCAACAGTCTCTTAAAATAATTTCAAAAAAGAAAAATATTCAAAGATGTTGCGGGAAATATCTTCCCAAAGAGACTTCTAAGACTGCTGGAAAGGGAAGCAACATTGGTGTGCTTTTGTGTCTATTCGAAATTCAGTATTCCGCCTTCATGGGTATATTTTGTGTATTGATCAGCTCCTGTTTGTTTTTTCATTTTATTTTTATTTGATAGTTGTGTTCGTTTTTCTTTCTTCGCACTTGTATCTGCTGGCTGTGAGGATACTGCTACTCTAAGCTGGGTGTTCCAAATTCACATCTGCTAATTTGACATGCAGATGAATCCCTGGAAGAGGATGCTTTGAAAAGAACTGCTGGGAAACCAAACAGTTCTGCAATTTTGATGTATTTCTCTTTTTGTCAAGAAAAACATCAGAGCTAAAATGGAATCGTAGATTTATTGCTAAAGCGAATCTCAGTGGATGTCAACTTATGTGTTTTGTTTTCTTTCTTAGTTTGGTGTGTGCGAGTGTTCAAAATTTGTAGGTATTGTGTGTGGCATGTGAGTTTAAATCTGGTTTCTCCACTGTTAAGTTATTTATGAATTTCTAAGTTGCAGACCCTGGTACATTTTTCTGTGAATTCGAGTTTGAGTTTAATTCTGGTTTCTTCACTTTTAGATCATTTCTGAATTTCTAAAGTGGCAGACCCTGGTACGTTTCTCTGTGGATGCAAGTTTCTGCTCCTGATTAGGTTACACAGGTTAAGCTCAGTTTTGAATGTTCTCGTCTTTGAGGAGAGAGAGAAAAAAAAACCTGAGTGTCTTCTTAAGCCCTTGCAGTCTGACAGGTGCTGTGTGAAGTTAGGTTGCATAGGTTGAGGTTCTTCATGTCCAGGTCAAATTTCAGCTCCTCCTTTAGTTCTTAACTCTAAATTATAACACCACATTTCTAGCTGAGCTCTCACCACAGTCATTGGCTAAATCATCCTACTCAGATTCAAGGGCTTTGTGCAACTCTTAAAGCTGGTGACCAGTTCTCCCTCTTGAATGAAAGGAATGCCCTCATGCTCTAGTGGAGTTTCACCTTTTGATCTTCCTGATCTTGAGCACAGTCCTCCTGACCTTAAGAAATGGCACGGTAACATACAATCTTCTTACCCACATCAAGACCAAGGTAATCGAGGGATTACTGAGTCAAAATAACATATCTCTGTGAGCTCCAGCTCAACAAAGACCATTTGTGTTTTCAGCAGGCAACCAGATTCTATGAATGGCTGGAAGGGCTTTCTTGAAGATACCTTCCGTGGGGTGCTGTCCTACATGACAACTAGAGAAAACAGCTTTCCACATAGCCCAAGGCAGCAGTCATGAGGAAAGGAAGGCTTTTGTCCTTCTTGCACAGTGTCTATTGTCTTTTCCATAACTGCAGAAAAGGGCAGTATTCGTCATTAAACCTCCCAGGGACATATCAGTATCCTAAGATATGTCATTCATTCAGCTTGATCCTGTTCTTCCAGTTAATCTGACTCATTCCCAGGATTTAAGCTTTCATGGAGTAGATGAGGTTGGGGTCTAAACAGTGGAATCAGCAAAAAATGGTGTAGCTGTTAGGGTTTTTGAGATGATACACCTTTCCTGACCTCAAGGACTTATAACCTCAGGGACCATTTCAAAAATGAGCAATAAGGCATGCGCACTGGGAACCAGCTTTAATCCTGCCGGGGGAGGCAGTTCACACCTCCTGAAGAACATGGTGCTTGTCATGGTGAGCCACAGCCAGTGGTAAGTAAGAGCTGTTTCAGGGGGGGAAAAAAAGAGTTAGAAAATGAGGATATTCTGGGCAAAGGAAATAGCACATAGGAAGATGCAGAAGGATGAAAATGTAAGAAACAGCTGGAAAACTGCATATGTGTATGACTGGGATGCAGGAAGTAGGAGAGGAGAATGGAGGAGGGCCATGTTTTGACCATAATCTCAGCCACTGAGGAGTCTAAGTATGACAAAAACATAATATAAAGACCGCCTTCTCATGGCCATGGAGAACACAGTGGGGCAAGGTAGGCTCAAGACCAGGTGCTCAATGGGAGAGTGGTTCCAACAGCCCAGATGAGAAGTGGTGAGGCCTGATCCGAAGCAGTGGCAGAGATGAGGGAGAGGGAAAATGGATTGCAGAGAGATTTAGGAGAATATCTGCAGGATTGACTGAATTTGGGAGATGGGGGAGAAGGAGAGTGCAAGGGGATTTTTCACCTTCTAGCTTGGACAAGTGGTGGGAAGAGCTTTTGTCCCACTGTTCACTGAGGTGGTCACAGAATTAGAAGAACTGAGCCTTGCAAAGTCCGGGTTGGACACATAAATTTTTTTTTTTTTTTTTTTTTTTTTGAGACAGAGTCTCATTCTGTCACCCAGGCTGGAGTACAGTGGCGCGATCTTGGCCCCCTGCAACCTCCGCCTCCCAGGTTCACGCCATTCTCCTGCCTCAGCCTCCCAAGTAGCTGGGACTACAGGCGCCCACCACCAAGCCCAGCTAATTTTTTGTATTTTTAGTAGAAACGGGGTTTCACCGTCTTAGCCAGGATGGTCTCGATTTCCTGACCTCGTGATCCACCCTCCTCGGCTTCCGAAAGTGCTGGGATTACAGGCATGAGACACATTGAGTTTTATGCTACCTGGTGGGTATCAAGGAGAGGTGTGTCACTGTTCATGGTATACACAGATACGGACGGTGCTGAGGTTCACATTTACCAACAGCCAATTTCCCAGGAATCAATTTAACTCATTTATTCCTCTCTCTCCAGGCTCACATCTGGGTCAGGCCAGAATGAGTCATTTTTCCACGATCAAATGCATGAGCACCATATTTTCATTTCTTTTAATTATTGTTTTATTCATCCAAGCTTTCCAGGCATTTCTTCTTTAGAGTAAAATACATTTTGCCTTATTATTTCAACTTCAAAGACTCAACCCACCCTTTTCCCTCCTATTTCAGGGGGGGAAAAAAAGAGTTAGAAAATGAGACAGAGTCTCATTCTGTCACCCAGGCTGGAGTACAGTGGCGCGATCTTGGCCCCCTGCAACCTCCGCCTCCCAGGTTCACGCCATTCTCCTGCCTCAGCCTCCCAAGTAGCTGGGACTACAGGCGCCCACCAAGCCCAGCTAATTTTTTGTATTTTTAGTAGAAACGGGGTTTCACCGTGTTAACCAGGATGGTCTTGATCTCCTGATCTCATGATCCTCAAAGTGGGACGCCTCGGCCTCCCAAAGTGCTAGGATTACAGGTGTGAGCCCAGCCACTTTCTTGTTCTTATACTGTATCATTTCCCCAGGGTTTAGAGGATGGCTTCCAGTTTATTAGGCACATGAACCAGGTCTATGAATATCCTGACAATGTGCTCTAAAGTTTTGAAATCATAAGAGGGCTGCCTGCCCTCACATCTATGGGTTCCCTTGACAACTTAGGCCAAGTTGGTTTTTATGTGTGCTTAGCTACAGAAAATGATCACCCACAAATCTAAACCATAAACAAAAATTATGCCGCAGGTTGGGTGAAGTTGGGAACAGGTTTGATAAACGTTCACCTCTTATAAATACTTGAGAAACCAGCATTGATTTAAGAATGCTTGTGGGTGCCAAAGGAAGAATGGTTAGCAAGATAATTTCTAATCTTCTATATGCACCCCAAATAGCTCCTATCTTACCTAAAAAGTTATTCCTGAATGGTGTTCCACTAACAAATTAAACAGAATGTGGGCTTTTAGAATTTGCTTGAATTTTTTAACTAACGTCAAGAGGTTCAGTTCACATTCTAGGTTCACTCTAGTCAAGATGAAAAGTGGAACCCACACACACCAACAATTAGGCTTTGGAAATGAAGAATAAGCACAAGAACTCCTCACCCTTGGTGATCTTTTTTGCTGGGCCCCTTGCCGTGAGCACATTCCATTTCTTTCCTCCTAGTTCTTTCCTCCTCATAAGGGAGAAAGCTCCTCTCTCTCTATATATATATGTAGAGAGCAGGGCCCTTTTCAACTCTGAGCACTCCAACCTTCTGTTCTGAAATATGTGGAAGTTAAATAATAGAGAAGGCATGTGAGTGATAGTCAGTCCCATCCTCTTAAGATGTAAATCTCCAACCATCGCACCTGAGCCAAAAATGATTTAGATGGAACAGGCAGGATTCAAACATAACGAGCGTGGAAGTTAATCTGACACTAATTTAATGGTATGCATAACTGTTATTCTGTTGCTTGGCAATTAGGCTTAAGTGGTAAGCATTCAGGTAAATGACTTCAATTAGGATTACTTTCCATCTGTCAAGTCAAATATTTCTAAAGTCAACAGAGAAAGGGCAGTTGAAAAACAGGATTTTGTAAGTCATTTTCTTCCTTTTTCCCTCCTTTCGTATTCTACCTGCCAATACACAAACACATGCATGCACACACAGAAACACACACACACACAGTTGATGGGAGGAAACGGCCAATTCTCTAGTCACTCATTTCCTTGCAATCTTCCCTTTGATGGTGAACCCCATGATGCCCTGTTTTGATTTTAGCAGAACATACCGTTGTCCCTTAAGCCGTGGTGTGTCTAGTATGTAGCCCTCCAAGCACACAGAAGCAAGAATACCTGAGCTTGAGAATGAGAGTGAGTAGAAAGTGGGGTTAGAGGAGAAAAATGAGAGGATCCTTGAACACTAGGGCTATGAGTGCCCTTGACCATAAAAAAGCCATCCGCAGCCGGGCGTGGTGGCTCATGCCTGTGGTCCTGGCACTTTGGGAGGCTGAGGCAGGTGGATCATGAGGTCAGGAGATGGAGACCATCCTGTCCAACATGGTGAAATCCCATCTCCACTAAAATACAAAAAATTAGCCGGTCATGGTGGTGCGTGCCTGTAGTCCTAGCTACTCAGGAGACTGAGGCAGGGAAATCACTTGAACCTGGGAGGCGGAGATTGCAGTAAGCCAAGATCGCACCACTGCACTCCAGCCTGGTGACAGAGCGAGACTCTGTCTCAAAAAAAAAAAAAAAAAAAAAAAAGCCATCTGCCTACATGGTTTCCTTTGCATGTAGGGTCTTATGTTGGGGAAAACACTATGCAGGAACGCATGCTTTGTGGGGTGGCAGCATAAAGTCTGTCCACACTTACAAGGATTAGAAGCAGTTTCGGGTGCATGCATGCCATAAACACTGGAGAGAAGAGGATGAGGAAATGTGAAAGAAAAAGCTAGAAATAGTGCTCATAGGTGTCGAGTGCAGACCCAGAGGCTGCCCCAGGATGCAGAAGAGAGTGGGCCAGGGAAGGGTAAAGACAGAAAAGTTAGATCAGGGACCGCTTGGAGGAGAGCTCACGAAGATGAGGAGCCAGACTCGAGGCACACAGTGAAGGAAAGTGACCACAATTATCTATCATGGGCTTTGCAGCCAGTCTTCGTGGCCGCTCACAATGGTTCTCCAGTGTGGAGTGCTGTTGCCTGAAGCTGATGCAGGCACCAGTGTGAGCTTCACCTTGAATGATGACACGACCCTGACAAATGAAAATCACCTGTGGAGTGTGCCTGGGTCCCACTCCCAGTGATTCTGATTTAGGTGGTCCATAGAGCAGTCTGGACATGGGGATCTTTCAAAGCTTTCAGAAGATCCTGACATGCAGCTGAGGCTGATAGCCACTGCCCCAGAGTGATCAATGGAGGGAGGGTCAAGGTCGGGCTCCTGAGTCCCAGCTCTCCCACTTAAAGATTGCCTACCAAGCTGGGCTTGGTGGCTTGCGCCTGTAATCCCAGCACTTTGGGAGGCCAAGGCGGGTGGATCACGAGGTCAGAAGTTCAAGACCAGCCTGGCCGACATGGTGAAACCCCGTCTCTACTAAAAATACAAAAATTAGCCGGGCGTGGTGGTGGGTGCCTGTAATCCCAGCTGTTTGGGAGACTGAGGCAGATAATTGCTTGAACCCGGGAGGCAGAGGTTGCAGTGAGCCAAGATCACACCATTGTACTCTAGCCTGGGCAACAGAGTGAGACTCTGTCTCAAAAGAAAAAAAACAAAATCACCTACCACTAAGTTCCCAGCAGGGCCCTTGGCTTTCCAACTTCTGCTGTAATATGACAGTGCTCTTTTGTGTCAAGTGGTCTTCAGAACCAACAGCTAGATGAAGGGCAGAGTCTAAAGGGGCTTGGATAAGTAGGTGTTCCCTTCTAGACCTGGATGGAGGACATCCAAGCATAATGTTCTTGAATTGCCCTTCCTCCAATGCCCACTCCACCGCAGTCCATCCTGAATGTCTTTTTTTTCCCAAAAGAAAATCCTGGGAAGAAAAGACATTCTTTGCTTTGGTGAAAATGATGTTTTTGGTGAAAGCCACTGCTCTTTCCTAAAACACCAAGTATTTAAATATTTCAGCTGGTTGCTACCTTAGAGATGCTAGGAGATGGGCCCCTGCGTGCCGTACTTACAAAGGAACACATTGTGTTTTGTAGGTTTGATAGCATCCACCCTCATCAAATGCTGGATGCCAAGCACATCGAGATCCAGCAGATGGAATCCACTATGGCCTCCATTTCTGAGTCCGCCAGCTTATTCGAAGTCAATGTCCCTGACTATAAGCAGCTGAGGGAGTGCAGGAAGGAGGTCTGCCAACTGAAAGAGCTCTGGGACACCATTGGAATGGTGACCTCCAGTATCCATGCCTGGGAGACCACACCCTGGAGGGATATCAAGGTGGAAGCCATGGAGTTGGAGTGCAAACAGTTTGTCCGGCATATCCGAAACCTGGACAAGGAGGTCAGGTCCTGGGATGCATTCACAAGCCTGGAAAGCACTGTGTGGAACATGCTGAGCTCCCTGAGGGCGGTAGCTGAGCTGCAGAATCCAGCCATCCGGGAGCGGCACTGGAGGCAGCTGATGCAGGCCACTGGTGTGAGCTTCACTATGGACCAGGACACCACCCTAGCGCACCTGCTGCAGCTCCAGCTGCACCACTATGAGGACGAGGTCCGGGGCATTGTGGACAAAGCTGCAAAAGAGATGGGTATGGAGAAAACCTTAAAGGAGCTGCAGACCACCTGGGCTGGCATGGAATTCCAGTATGAGGCCCACCCCCGGACCAATGTCCCCCTCCTGCGCTCGGATGAGGACCTCATAGAGGTTCTGGAGGATAATCAAGTTCAACTTCAGAACCTGGTGATGTCCAAGTATGTTGCTTTCTTCCTGGAGGAGGTGTCGGGCTGGCAGAAGAAGCTGTCCACAGCGGATGCTGTCATCTCTATCTGGTTTGAAGTACAGCGAACCTGGACTCACCTGGAAAGCATATTCATTGGATCTGAAGATATTCGGGCACAGCTACCCCAGGTACCTGCTAAGGAAATCTAGAATCTCTCCGTTCTCTGATCCAGGGTGAAGGGAAGGTCTCCCAGTTTCCGCATTGTCTAGGCTCTTTCCTTTTCTGCCTCCTTGCTTTGACTTTACTTAAAGACACCTCCCACAGATGCTCACCTTACCTGCCACTAAAAGTTAGGCAGAGGAAAAGAGGGACAGCGAAATGCACACCAATCAGTTTGTCCTTAGATGGGTAGGAAAAATAAAGGAGAATCTTGTTCAGAAAAAAAATAAAAATAAAAATGTATATATAAGAAAGATTTTAAAAAATACTGGCTACTGCAGTTTAGGATGAGGTCCTCACGGGTTACTTCTTGGATCATTAAAATTCAAGTGTCCACTGAAAGTGAGTCTTGTTTCCAGGCAAATTCAAGTACCTTCTCAGCAGCACGCCATTCTATCAACCGCTGGCCTGTGCCAGCACTCCACCTACCAGCTGTCAGCTAAACTCCAAACAACAGATATCCCTAAAATACGTGTTCTTCTCATTATTACCTTCCCTGTGTTTGATTGCCCCTTCTAATTAGTCCTAATTAATGTGCCATTAATTTACCTCTCTCTCAATGGACTCTGATTCATTTTTAATTTTTTTCTTTGGGCTTCCTCTGTATTCTTTCAGTACAGCAAGTTCTTTGCTTACAAATTAGCTTGATTCCAAAATGTCACGCGCTGTCCAGGCTTTGGTTAGAAATTAAGGCACGTTCTGCCCACGGTTTTGCTGCTTATCCCAAAAAGCATATTTAGTGTAATATTGTAGATTAAAGGTTGTATATTTGCAGTGAAAAACAATAGAAAACAATTCTGTATGGCAGTTGTCATTAAGTAAAATTGAATAAGCCAGATTTTATTTATCTCAAACGCCAGCGATTGAAACAGGCCAGGCTTAATTAGAAGGGGTCAGGGACAGAGGCGGAGATTCTTGCAGAAACTTTAAGGGAGATGATTGAGAACTTTTAATTAAAAATACTGAAGAATTAGTATCATTAACCTGTATACAGTGCCACAGGTTTGTGTACAAAATATGTAAACACATTTACTTTCTCTGTAATAACAATGAAACAGAAACAGTTTCAAAACAATAAAATCAGCCAGGCTCTAATACCCTAACTGGTAACTATTTTCATTCATTATGAATTTTTCCCAACTTTTGTTCATGTACATACATAGTTTTACATAATTGCTCTCAGTGTAATTATAATTTTCTATTTAATTTTTTCCATTTGAACATTTATGCCAGATATTTCAGATACTTCTACAACCTTGATACTGTTTTATTTTTAATTAGAGCAAAACATCTCATTGAGGAATCATATTTTACTTTACCCTCTTATGTTTTGTTTGTTTGTTTTGAGACAGCACCTTGCTCTGTCGCCTAGGCTGGAGTGTAGTGGCGTGATCACGGCTCACTGCAACCTCCGCCTCCATTCAAGTGATCCTCCTACCTCAGCCTCCTGAGTAGCTAGGATTACAGGCGAGTGCCACCACGTCAAGCTAATTTTTGTATTTTTAGTAGAGACGAGGTTTCACCATGTTGGCCAGGTTGGTCTCGAACTCCTGACCTCGTGATCCGCCCGCCTCAGCCTCCCAAAGTGCTGGAATTATAGGCTTGAGCCACCACACCTGGCCTACCCTCTTGGTTTTAAGGGCAGGATCACAGAGAGAAGGAATAGCAGGCCTGGACTTGAGTCCTCATTCTCTCACTTGGGTAGGGTACTTAACCTCTCAATGCCTTGGTTTCCCTGTGTGTAAAGTGGGACTAATACTAGTATCTATTCCAGAGTCTTCATTAAAACAATGCACATAGCACATACCATTATGATTGTTGTTATGTAACAATAATACTACAAGCTCTACCACCTCACCAGGTGCCGTGTGTTTGGCTGAAGCACACGGCATATATTAGTCTGTCCATCATTTCAATGATACTGTGAGTGTGTATGTCTGGGAAAAATGATAACAACTGATTAATTTTGACATCAAAGGAGTATATTTGCTGAGGGAAAATTCATTTTGGTTATATACTTTTGCATGGGTCCAGAAAGAACGTTCCAGAAAGATCCACTATCTACTTAGGAATCAAGTGTTGTATGCCTGGGGATTAGGGGTGGTCTCTGAGACCTTTTCAGAGAGTCCTCAAGGTCAAAATTATCTTAATAATCATATTAAGATGTTATCTGCCTTTTTTCTTGCTCTCATTCTTCCATGAGTGTACAGTGGGGTTCTCCAGAGTTCAGATGACATGTGGTATCATAATAAATTGATACAGAAGCAGTTTTCTGTTAAATCGGATATTGCAGAGATTTGATGAAGGTGAAATCATGACCCCTTTTCAACTGTTATTTATTTTGTTTTGGAAAACATATTTAAGATTTTATCTTATGAATGCTAAATAATGGGTTTATTATTTTATTTTTTTTTTTTTTTTTGAGATGGAGTCTTGCTCTGTCACCCAGGCATGATCTTTGGCTCACTACAACCTCTGCCTCCTGGGTTCAAACAATTCTCCTGCCTCAGCTCCTGAGTAGCTGAGATTACAGGCTGCATGCGCCACCAGGACTGCGCTTTTTTTTTTTTTTTTATTTTTTTTAATTTTTAGTAGAGAAGGAGGTTTCACCATGTTGGTCAAGGGCTGGTTCAAACTCATGACCTTGTGATCCCCCCACCTCGGCCTCCCAAAGTTCTGGGATTACAGGTGTGAGCCACCACGCCCGGCTTATTATTGTTACTTTTTAAATGCTTTTTTGTTTTGTTTTGTTTTGTTTGAGACAAAGTCTCCTTCTGTTGCCCAGGCTGGACCGCAGTGGCACGATCTTGGCTCTCTGCAACTGCAAACTCCATCCTCTGGGTTCAAGCAATTGTCATGCCTCAGCCTCCTGAGTAGTAGCTGAGATTATAGGCATGCACCACCAAGCCCAGCTAATTTTTGTGTTTTTAGTTGAGACAGGGTTTCACCATGTTGGTCAGGCTGGTCTCGAACTCCTGGCCTCAAACCATACCCCTGCGTCAGCCTCCGAAAGTGCTGGGATTACAGGTGTGAGCCACTGCACCCGGCCTAAATGCATTAATGAATATTTTTAGAAATTTCTTTAAAAAAAAAAACCTTTAGCCTCTGGTGCAGAAAATATTGAAAGATATGATAGATAGGACCTACATAAACAAAAGCTCTTTGGACTCCTAAATAATTTTTGAAAATGTAAATGGATTCTAAGCTGAAAATGTTAGAGAACTGCAGCTTAAACTAAGGGTGTTTCCTCCCTTGAGTCTCTTCTCTATATTTGACAACCCAGAAACAAGTTTCTGCTTCTAACTGGCTCCATGGAGGGAGCGTCTAGGAACTGAGCGGAGTGGTGGTTAATTGCTTCCACATTTTTATTTGCAGGATTCTAAAAGGTTTGAAAGCATCGACATTGACTTTAAAGAGCTAGCTTATGATGGCCAGAAAACTCCAAATGTGGTGGAAGCCACCAACAAACCAGGCCTGTATGAAAAGCTGGAGGATATTCAGGGCAGGTGAGGGTCCACCCGTTACCCCTTTACTCTAATAAGAAGGCATCATTTCGTTTTCCCCATCGTCTCTGAGACCAGTGGGTGGGAGTGAGTATGTGTGACTTGCATGTCTCTCACTTTGCCTGTGTGTTTGGGTAACACAGGGCATTATTAGAGGTGTTGACGCCAATGTAGACACATCCGTGTATATCTTTGCAAATATCTCTAAGTGTTTCTTGTGCTAATTTTTGCATATATTCCATCTATTGCATATATGTACATTTAGGTAATATATGTGTATCCATGGGTCTAGGCATTCTTAATTGGGAAATTCTATGTTCTGTACCCTCAGATTGTGCCTGTGTGAGAAGGCCCTGGCAGAGTACCTCGACACCAAGAGGCTTGCCTTCCCTCGGTTTTACTTTCTCTCCTCCTCTGATCTGTTAGACATCCTTTCCAACGGCACGGCTCCACAACAGGTAAGCTGGAGGAGCATCTGCAGAAAGGTCTAGGAGGACTGAGGAGTGCCCAGCAGGAGGCAGTTTCCGGCTCCCCATCATCATCATGCCTCTTCTCTCTGGCAGGTTGTGTACTTCAGACCTGTGTTGCCCCCAGCATCATCATATACCTCGGAGCTTCCCTCTCTTCCTCCTTCCCTTCCTCCTTCCCTCCCTCCATTTCTCACTCCTTTCCTCCCTCCCTCCCTCCCTCCCTCCCTTCCTTCCTTCCTTCCTTCCTTCCTTCCTTCCTTCCTTCCTTCCTTCCTTCCTTCCTTCCTTCCTGGCAAATTCAAGTTCCTTCTCAGCAGCACGCCATTCTATAAGCCACTGGCCTCTGCCAGCACTCCAACTACCAGCTGTCAGCTAAACTCCAAACAATGGATATCCCTAAAATACGTGTTCTTCTCATTATTACCTTCCCTGTGTTTGATTGCCCTTTCTAATTAGTCCTAATTAATGTGCCATTAACTTACTTCTCTCTCTCTCTTTCCTTCCTTCCTTCCTTCCTCCCTTCCTTTCTCTCTCTCTCTCTCTCTCTCTCTCTTCCCGTCTTTCTTTTTTTTTTTTTTTTTTTTTTTTTTTTTTTTTTTTTTTGATGGAGTCCTGCTTTATTGCCCAGGCTGGAGTCAGTAGCGATCTCGGCTCACTGCAATCTCCACCTCCTGGGTTCAAGCAATTCCCCTGCCTCAGCCTCCCAAGTAGCTGGTACTACAGGCGTCTGCCACCACGCCAGCTGATTTTTTTGTCTTTTAGTAGAGACGGGGTTTCACCATGTTGGCCAGGATGGTCTTGATCTCCTGACCTCGTGATCCACCCGCCTCAGCCTCCCAAAGTGCTGGGATTACAGCTGTGAGCCTCTGTGCCTGGCCACCTCGGAGCTTTCTTAATCCCCATCAGTATTGCTGCTCAGCATGCCCTCTGGCCCATCAGAGGCTAATCCCTAACAAAGAACTGAGAAACTTTGAGTATGGCAAAGGTGGACGTGGTTAAGGCTTGGCAGAGAATGCCTTCAATCTGGTTCTGAAGAGTGATCTAGGAAATACTGGCCAAATTCAATAGCTAAAATTTCTATAGGGAGGTAAGATTGGAACTTATGTTAACTGAATATGGAGGTAAGACTTATTGGCAAAAGCATATATGAGAAGCCCAAAATTTGGGGTTCTGGCTTCTGGTTCTAGACAGTTACTACCATAGAGTCTTGGACATGTGACTTCTTAGCAACAAACTTTCCTCGTCTGTAAAACAGAAGAAACCTGCTGTGTTCGAAGGTTTTGTGAGTATTAAAGTAACTAATTGAAGCAGTGTTGGTAATTTGGAGCTACAGACATTGGTTCTGAAATTTGGGAGTGCACCAGAATCCCTTGGAAGGCTTGTCAAAGTACAGATTCCTTGGTCCCACTCCCACTGTTTCTGATTCACTACGTCTGGGTGGAGCTGGAGAATTTGCATTTCTAAGAATTTTCCCAGTATGGTGCTGGTCTAGGGACTACACTGTGAGAACTTCTGCTCTCAACATTGTCTGGGTCTCAAAATGCTTGGATTAGTTCTTTCTCCTGATGTGATTTTGTTATTCATTTAAAGTATAGCTGGGCTCATTTGCTTCTTTTTGCTTTCAGTGTTAGGGTTTTTCCCATACTTGTTTATTTGATTGATTGAATATGTATGACGCTGATAGGATTCCAAAAGTCAAACGATGCAAAAAGATATGTATATATTCAGATATATAATTTTCCCTCCTCTATTCCTTTCATGCCATCACCGCCTCTGCTCCACCCCCATAGGTAACCAATTTCATTAATTTCTGGGTTATCTTTCCTATGTCTATCTTTACAAAAATAAGCAAATGCATATTTACATTCATGCATGTACATTTTCTAATTTCCCGTTCTTTCATACACAAAAGATAGCATGCTACGCCTACCTGTTGGCCCTTTGCTTTTTTCTACTTAGCTATATAGCTTGGAAATCACTCCATATCAAGTCAAAGATATCGCCCTCATTTTGTAATATTTGCATCATACTCCGTGGATATACCATAGTTTGGCCATAGGTTATTTATAACATTTTGTAATTATGAATAATGTGGCATTGAATAACCTTGGACTTTGTATTGTTGGCGTATGTCTTCCAGGTAAACTCCTAATAGTGAGATTGCTGGTTCAAAGGGTAGATACAGATGTAGTCTTGTTAGATATTGCCAAGTTTCCCCCCTTTTGCTTCACCACAAACAACAGACGAGAGCTTCTCAAACAGAGCCAAAGGATGGAACCACACATAAGTTTTTTTGTCTTTGACCTACCCTTTCTAACAGTGAAATTAGGTTTTGATTTGTTTATAAGAAGCAAGTACTAAAGAGAGATTATCCCTGATAGTTATAGCACTTCTTTTTTTCCTGTAGATGGAAATATTTCCAAAGTAGCCCAGGTGTGGTGGTGTTAAAATATTTATTGTTAATACATTAGTGTTCTGTATTATAACTGTATTTCTATTCATTCTATGTATAGAAGGGGTCAGATCACTGTCAGATTTTTTTATACCTCACTCTTTTTAAAAATTATTATTATTTTTTTTTTGGAGGTGGGATCTTGCTCTGTTACCCAGACTGGAGTGCAGTGGCATGATCATAGCTCACTGCAACTTCAAACTCTTGGGCTTAAGTGATCCTTTCACCTCAGTCTCCAGAGTAGCTGGGACTACAGGCGTGAGCCACCTCACCCAGCTAATTTTTTAAAATTCTTTGTAGAAACGGGGTCTTGCTTTGTTGCCTGGGCTGATTTTGAACTCCTGGCTTCAAGCAATCCTCCCGCCTCGGCCTGCCACAGTGTTGGGATTACAGGCATGAGCCACCAGAATAGGCCTCATTCTTACTTACGTTGGTTCATTTCTTCTTTGATTTGAGTACATTTTTGAGTAGTCCCCATACCCTAAGAGGTGAAGCATGGTGGAATACATCCTAATACCTTCTATATCTGTGACTCTGTCATTTCACATGTGAGCAAGTGAATGGTTAGGGTTAGAATTCGTGAGTCACAGTGACTACCTCTCAATCCATGCAGATATCACTCTGCTGTTTGTTGTTACAAAGAAGTCATCTGAGGCCTGCCTGCTTTACAGAAAATTTCTAGATAGCCTAATTTCTATCTAGGTCCCTATACAGAATAAAATTTAAATTAATTTATCCAAATTTGTATGCTTATATACTTGCTTTGTTTTGTTCATTTATCCCTAAAACATGATAAGGTTTTGTCCTATCTGAAAACTAGAGCTTTTATGATCTGGAAAAAGTTTTCTTCTAGCATGTGTTTAAATATTATATCTATTCTATTTATCTGTATATTTTTTCATTCAGGTTTATCATGCTTCCATAAGCTGAGATTCCACTTTATACACGCTGTATACATTACCTTCTCTTTAATCGTATTTTTATCTCTTAGTCCTCTTCCTTGGCATTTATCAGTAAATTTCTCAAGCTCTTCCAACATATTTAATTTTTTGTGTCAATTCAGCACTTTAGTGTTGTTAATACTGCTATAAAGTGTACTCTGCCATTGTTAGTCTCTTTACTTTATTTCTCTACCTCTGCCAAGTCATCTTTCACCACATATTTTATAGACTTCATGTTTCTTTAATTTAATTGAAGGTAAAACAAGGTGATGGTTTCCAAATTGATTTGTTTCCATTATTAAAGGTTTAAAAAATTTTATATATAATTTTATGTAAAGTTATATATAATTATATATAAAGGTTAAAAATTTATATATATATTTTATATATATAAAATTTATATTTTTATATAATATAAGCATCTCTTTCGTGCGTATAGCAACATATATAATAGACCAATTTTTAACCTTTTTATATATACAATCCTTACTATTATAAAAATATTACATAATACAAATTTTTATATACCAAAATATATAATATATACTAAATTAATCATATACCTCAAGACAAATATATACTAACATATATAAATTATAATATAATACAAAATATTATTAAACATATAGTAAATTCCATA